CAGCCGGTTAATATTTTAGATATAGGAGGTTTTCACAGAATACCAATGCTATGTCTGTTCAACACTGGCAGTGGCATACCTTTCAAACTGTCAATCCAATCCATTTTCTCCACTCCAGTGCATTTTGCATTGAAATTCTCCATCTTCAATATATTACTTTGATGCTCAGCAAAGGCAAGCTGAACAAAATATACATATTTATTAAAAACATCTTATTTTACAGTCAAAACACTGAATTGCAGTTGAACTGAAACCCCTGAAAACTGCAGGGGCTCCTATTTACCTTGTACAGGTAAAACCAGTTCCAGATAACACTGACGAATAAGCAGACAGCAAACAGTTGTTGGAACAGCACAAACCAGGAGATCTTTGTCCGCAGTTGGAGCATGATAATGACTAGTATAACCAGGATAAATAACACGATCTGGAGAACGGAGCAGAGAACAGTTTAAGTGGTTACAGAAAATAGAAACCATTAAAACACAGCAGACACATTAAGAAAAGTCAAAACAGAAGGGGGTCAAAGGTAAAAGCTACATTTGGTTTAAAAAAAAAAGACATGTTTTTATATCTGCACTGACAACTTCTCATGAAACCATACTGAGTGTACATGAAATCAACAGACAGCTCTCCTTCTTGTTCATGGAGACAACACTAGACAAGAGATTTGGGGGGAGTTGGCCTCAAACCAGAGAAAGTGGAGTCACAGTAATAAAGACTGAGATTACTTTCAATAATGTATGCAGCTCCACCCCAAAGGTGTCTTCAAATGGCCACTTCCTGGCCCCATAATCATGCGGTTTAACGTCCACAAGTATCTGACTGATGGCATTGTCCAGGGCGCCTGGTCTACAGCCGTCTTCACTCTCCAGATGTGCCTGGATCTCCTCCATGGCTTGTTTGGACATTTTGAGTTTGGCATCATAAAAGAAATCTGTGGAGTCACTGGGCTGGAGAGAAATGGGAGAAGTGTCTTAAATTGCACATTTTTTCCCACCACACTTGTAAAATTATTAAACGAGAGAGTAAATATGATAGCACAATATGCTCGACTGAAATCTCATAATTCAACATAAAACATGAGATGACCACCTACCACACCAGCTCTTTGTATTGCCTTCAACAGTCTGCTAAGAAATCTCTTGAACACTGGGCTGCATGTTGGCTGCTGTGAGATGCGCTCGATCGTCTTCTTATGATCTTCAATCTGAATGAAGGCAAGGCAGAATATCTGAAGTGCCTGTCCTGAATAAGTTCCTATTTCCCAGTCAAAGCTTCTGGGATTATGGGAAAGACCCCAGGTTCTCTTCTAAGACTGGTTGGTGGTGTAAGGATCTGAACGATATCTTCTCGATACACTTTGAGCCCGGTAATAACACTTCACCATCATTTAAACATCTCAGCCTAGTCTTGTTGCTAACCACTGTCTGCCCACAGATGATGTTATAGCACAGCATTTCCAAACCACTGTGCAGCCCCACAGAAGTATGCCATGAGAAATCATCAGGTGTGCCATGGAAGATTATCCAATTTCACCAGATGGGTAAGGGAGCAGCATGTAGTAATAGGCAGAAAATTTCCATTCTCTTCCACTAGAGGGCAGTGCAACATCTTGCACAAATTAAGAGGGTTGCCAACCGCCAGTAAAACAGAAGAAGGGCCGCAGGTAATAGCGATGGATAAATATCTGAAAATAAAAAAAGTAGTGAATCTGACCTGAGTCCTGGAGAAGACTCAGATGAAGGCCCTGAAGGCACGAGCAGTGGTCAGAAAAAAACAAAAGGAGAGCTCAAGATAATACAATGAAACTCGTCTTGCCATTGGATTCACCGGGGAACCAACCAAGCCAATTCCACTATGCCTGCTGCTGAAAAACTGTCAAACAGTGCCAAGGTTCCAAGTAAACGTAAATGCCATTTCTAGACAAAACACCCAAGACTTCAAAACAAGATCACAGACTATTTTCCCTTCTTGGCAAACAAAGTTATTTCAGCTCTGCTTCCTTCCTCCACAACCCATCTATGGGTTTTATAAACATGATTGCTATCAAGACAAGAAAAAACCAAAACACAGACTCAGGACTGTCGAGGAAGATCTTCGTGTGTCTTCCTTCAACTCCTGCAAGAATATCAGCTTTGTGTTCAACTAAACAGGCACAGGTTTCACACTGTGTAACTTAAGAGTAGATTTTAAATATATCTTGTAAGAAACTTTTGTGACATTTTTATTTGGTGTTGTGATTTTTCTATGTGACGTGGCACTAAAGGGTTGGGAAACACTGTTCTAACAGACTACAGCTCAAAACATGTAAAACCGGTTTGTTGTACATGACATTGAGTTCACCTTACTTAAATGGCCTTTTTAGACACGGTTGACGTTCATGTTTTGTGTACCAGTTAGAACAAAGCGATAAGCCTGGAGGCGTATAATTAGACAATTTGAAGATAGTTTTTCCTATTTAAAACCTCTAAACACCAACCTGTCCCTCTAACTCCTCCACTTGTTTGTTGCAGGGCGATGGCTCAGTCTGGCTGGAGTCCTGATTGTACTCTTGTCTTTCAGTGCCCAGATTGTCACAGCTTGCTGTCTGCGTTGCAAACACACATACAAACTAAGTGTCTGAGCTGGACAACACAACATCTTCACAATACTCAGAGTAAAAATCTCCCAACCTCAGTAGGCTTTCTCATCCTTTTGGTCGTAGCATCATACATGGTCATGTCGTAAGGGTTGACCCACTTGCTTTCCTCCTGCTGGCCCACGGCAGTGAGCAACAGGTTGCACAACAAAGCAATGAGGAGCATCCTGGCTGGGAGAAGACAGACTCTTATCCAGTGTTAATTCCTTTACAGTGAAAACAAGCATAGGTGGACACCTATAGCTAGCACTGTTAGCTAAGTTTAAGGCTCAACTACAAAGCAGCTTCGGCCTCACTGACTCACACATGGCCTTAAAGGTAGTATAACAGGGTGAGGCGGGAACAAAACAAAACAGCCTAACAGACGTGACCATAAAAGGAATCGCTTTACTGTACAACCACGTGATGCAGTGTGTGAATGTGTGTGTGAATGGGTGGATGACTGAATGTGTAAAGTGCTTTGGGGTCCTTAGGGACCATGTAAAGCGCTATACAAGTACAGGCCATTTACCATTTTTACCAAGTGAGTGCAATTTAAGTTTGTAGGCTCGTGCTTAATTTAGTTTTGATGACTGACATCTCAAAAAGGTTATAAGAGCTGTTTTGTTTTTCTGTTTTTCTTCAAGGAATATTCAAAGAAATCCAAGAAAGCTCTAAATGGGGTGGGATAAAGTGTCAGAGGCACAGGATGTAGGCTGTAGACACATTAAAATAATGCCGAGATGCAATGGTGTATGTTATTTAACTTAAGATCACTTTTGTTGGAAGGTTAAATGCGTCTTCAACCCAGCTGTGGCAGCAGCACCGCAACTCATGAAGTTACAAAAAGAGCTGAGAGGTGCAACGCCAAAATGGATGGGTGCCAGTGGATGGAGCATCTTTATCAATGTACACTGCCATGCAACAGGGGGCGCACAGTGAGCATAAAAACTGTTAGGTTTATATTGTTGGATTGTCATTTATGCTTAGAAACATTTACTCATATATGCTTAGAGTTATAATCATTTGCATATTGATAGGATGTCTCATCCTAAGCAGTCTGCAAAGACTCTGTGTGCCTCCCAGAGCACTCTGGCATACCCACGCATCCTAAGGTCATGAGAGAGGTCGTACTTTCTCTTACTGATTTATGGTACAGGAGGACACCTACTCTGTATCTGTTTAAGTATAAGAGCCCTTTGTTTAGGTGGACCGCTGGACTCCTGGCACCAGCTTTGGGGAGTCGTTCACAGGGTCACATCTTGACACACACACGCATACCTACACATACACACAGACGGTACTCTTTGTTCACATGTATGCCTGTGTATGACGTCATATGTTAACGAGACTATGCATATTCATGTACCACAATAAAGACCAGTGCTACGGGTGAGCTAACTGAGAGTGACTGGGGTTCGAGTGTCAGGAGCAGCGCTCGTCACAGTTCTCTCCCTCGCACGAGATCACACA